CCAGTAGATTTCCATTCTCTCCACACTCATCTATTCATACATGCAAACTATAGTTTTACAAAATAATTATTATTCATCATTTATATTCTATAATAACTAGCTCAAATTGCTATATGTTCTCAGTGGCGACTGATAACAGAACAAGGAGCAACAGTCTCAAGTTTCAGAAAGGGAAGTTTAGGTTAGATATTAAGAAAAACTTTCTCACTAGGATGGTAGTAAAACACTGGAACAGGTTACCCAGAGATGTTGTAAAGTCTTCATCGTCATAGGTTTTTAAGACCCAGCTAGATGAAGCCTTGACTGGGATGATCTAGTTTCATAGATTCATAGATTATTAGGGGCTGGAAGGGGCCTTGCAGATCATCCGGTCCAGCCCCCACCCCCCCCACACACACACACACTCTAGGCAGGAAGACAACTGGAGTTAGGTGACCCCACCGAGGTGACTGTCTAGTCTTCTCTTGAAAACCTCCAGGGTAGATGACTGCACCACCTCTGGAGGAAGTTTATTCCACAGTCAGCACATCCTGGCCATGAAGGAGTTTTTCCTGGTATTAAGCCTGAAGCGGCCTTCCAGGAGTTTTTATCCATTGGTCCTGGTCTTCCCGGGGGTGCCCCACTGAACAACTATTCATCGAGCTCCTGATGCACTCCTCTGATATAGCGGTGAGCCACTATCAAGTCCCCTCTCAACCTTCTCTTCTTTAGGCTAAAGAGGCCCAGGTCCCTCAGCCTATTTTCATCTGGCTTGCCTTGCAAGTCCCTGATCATACGGGTGGCTCTTTTCTGGACCCTTTCAAGTTTTTCCATGTCCTTATTGAAGTGCAGTGCCTAGAACTGGATGCAGTACTTCAGCTGTGGTCTCACCAGTGCTGAGTACAGCAGGAGTATCACTTCCTTAGTTTTACACAAGATGCATTGGTTGACACATGCCAGTGTGTTGTTTGCCCTGCTGACCATCGCATCGCACTGACAGCTCATATTCATACGATGGTCAATCATTACCCCTAGGTCCCTTTCAGCCATGGTGCAAGTCAAGTTATGGCCACTAAGCCTATATGTATGCTGAGGGTTGTTTACCCCAAAATGGAGCACCTTACACCGGGAAGTGTTAAACTTCATCTGGGTCTGGTCTGCCCAACTCTCGAGCCTGTCCAGGTCCCACCTGTATCTGCAACCTATCATCTGGTGTGACCACACTGCCCCATAACTTGGTGTCATCTGCAAACTTGGCCAGTGAGCTTTTCACTCCCCCATCCCAATCATTGATAAAGGTGTTGAAAAGCACTGGTCCAAGCATGGACCCGTGAGGGACACCACTGGCCACTTCTTGCCAGGACGACACAGATCCATTCATGAGAACTCTCTGGGTCCTACCGTGTAGCCAGTTTCCCATCCACTGAACTGTCGAGCAGTTGAGCCCACAATCTTCCAGTTTGGGCAAGCTGGGGCTGGTTCTACTTTGAGCAGGGGATTCAACTAATTGACCTCCTGAGGTCTCTTCCAACCCTAATATTCTACGAGTCTGTGATTCTATATCTCTGCCTGAAAAAGGGGTCAGCAACCTTTCACTAACACTGGTGAAATTAGCACAGTTCCACCTTAAGGCTGGCTGGAGGCAGCAGCTCTTACATATTCCACCCCAGATGGTGCAGACATCTAACAAGTGCAGCCATCTGTGACAATATCATTTTTGGGCATGCTTGGTAGGCTGGATAAAATTTTAGTGGGCTAGATCCAGCATGACAGCCATAAGTCTGACCTAGCTCATACAATATGCCCTCAAATCTACTTCGGCATTCATGCTATCTGTGAATAGAAATGCATTAAATTATTATATATTTGAGATAGAACAGAACATTTATTTTTGTAAATATGTCCCTTATTTTTCAGTGTTAACGTTCTTCACTTTAATCTTTTGGCTCTAATCACTGCCCTGCCAAGCTGAGTCAACAACCTCTTACAACACATCCAAACCAAATTACTTTCTTCCCTTTCTTGTTCCAAACACTCCCCCCGCCATGCCTATATAAAATGAGCTGCCATCACACAGAATTGTATTTATATAAAAATATAGACACAGTACCTTACAAATACAACTGCAGTACACTTTTCCATTTGAAGTGACAGTGAAGTGTAGAGAAACACTCTATGCTTATTAAAAGGTACTGATGCCTTAGCTAAGCTGCTACCTTATAGTAATGTCACAGTGTGTCAGTGTTAATACTTGTGTGTTAGCAGGGGTTTCTCTAAGCAACTACTGTGCATTCTGGCTTTCAATATGCTCCAAAACCCAAGTGTCATGGATGCCATAAAAATGCAACATTTGCTACCCCACAGTGGTGGTGGTGGTATCTCCTCCTTTAAGGGTAGTATTCACTGACTGCCAGTGTGTAGGATAATTTCAGTCCCTCAAAACAGTATATAAATGGGAATGATCAGATGTCTGATCTTGTGCTGGCCCTTCTGCTCAGCAGTAACTGTCACCCGACCTACAACAAGAGACAGGGTCCCTTCAGTAAGGGTGTGGCATATGGTGTGTTTAATGCCATACCCTGTACCGACCCAGAAGAACAGTGAAAACATCAGATCCAATTTCCCCCACCCAAGAAAGGGGAGGAGACTCCAAATAGTTCTCATTGGGTTTTTCTTCCCAACTGATACATTGGGGTGGGAGAAATGCAATTCAGTTCCAAAGTCTTCTTCTGCCAGTGACACACCCCTTCATAAGGAAATTCTCAGATAACTGATGCTGCAGAACCAGGTAGGACCATACCCCACAGAGTTCACTCAGTACTTCACATTCCTGTGCAGAAGAGGTAAAGTACCTTTTCTGCCTTGCTATGGAGACAAGGACCTGGACCAATGGCTTGAAGTTGCAGCAAAGTGTAGACTGGATATCAAACAGTGAGGCAGTGACATGGACTGCCTAGGGAAGTTATGGACTCTGCATCAATGGAAGTGTTTAAGAAGAGGCTGGACAGCCACTGGTTGGGGATGATCTAGGCATAGCTACGCCTAGGTTCTAATATGGGTATTTCCCATGCTTCTTAGCTTTCTTGGTTGCCTTGCCTCCCCCTGCCCCATACCCTGCCTCCCACCTCTTTTCTGCTACATATGTCAAAGTGTTTTTAAGCCTTCCCAGAGGTGTTGGGTGTTGGCTACAAGTAAGGCTGTGGGCTTTGACTGGGGGTTTTCAGTGCTCTTACTGTGACCAAAACCAGAGGCTCCTGGCTAGAGGGTCATGCCCCTCCACTCATGGCCAGACCAATCTCCATATCTGAGGTCAGGAAGGAATTCTACCTCATGGTCAGAGTGGTATGGACTGTGGTGTTTTTGCCTTCCTCTGTAGAAGGGGGGCATGGCCCTCATCCTGGGACCTCTTGGGCATATGTCAACAACATTTTATAGAAGCAGGACTTTGGCTGCCATGGTACCCCTTCTTTACCTGTGACAGGTTAAGGTGTTAAGTCTATCTTGTGTCAGGGATGATGTAGTCTTATGGTTTATATAGCATAGTTTGGATAGGGATGATCCTGCCTTAGGCAGGGGGTTGGACTAGATGACATCTGGAGGTCCCTTGTAGCCCCACTTCTCTATGATTCTATGATCTCTCTGGAAATACCAGTGGAGCAGGTAGAGGCAGACATTTTCAAAAAGTCATCTCCCATGGCAGATTTACAGGCTGTAATCTACCCCACACTGGAAGAACCCACTTGTTTTATCAGCCAAAATTGTAGGAGCAGCCCTAAAACTCCCTTCCAACTCAAAATGGGCCCCAGAGGGGGAAAAAAAATTCTCTGAAATAAGGTAAACCATCAAAAAGATCTGTAGGAAGTAAGGCCTAGTCTTGGGGAGCCAGTGCCTCAGATTCAGTTCCCTGACTTGCTTCCCATGAACATATAGGGCAGCCAGGGCAAGATCTGTCATGAACCATCTGCCATACATCTTCCTGCTTGCCAGACGGCTGATTCTGCTTTTTTGAAAATGCCTTAATTATTACCAAAGATCATAAAATCATAGATTCATAGAAAATTAGGATTGGAAGGGACCTCACGAGGTCATGTAGTCCAACACCCTGCTCAAAGCAGGACCATCACCAACTAGATCATCCCATCTCAGGCTTTGTCTAGCTAAAAACCTCCAGGGATGGAGATTCCATGACCCTGCTGGGTATCCTGTTCCAGTGCTTTATTTCCCTTTTAGTGAGCAAGTTTTCCTAATATCTGCCTAAACTTCCCTTGCTGCAACTTAAGACCATTGTCCTTGTTCTGTCATCTGCCACCACTAAGAACAGTCTAGCTCTAAATTTGAATACACTAGTATAAGCACTGGAGCCTATACAGCTTATATATTGCTACACTGGAATAAAGGAGCATATCTACAAACACAGTAGCAAAGGAAGTTGCTCAGCAAAAATGTTCTACTGCCTTTGTGAAGGCTGGAATTCTCTTGCCATGAATGGTAGTTTGTTACAATGCCAGCCCCTGCTAAATTCTGACAAGTAGGAACAGCAGCACAGTAAAAGAAGTCATTTCTAGGCTGGCTCTGCACATGGGGAACAAACAGAAACCTAGAGAGGTGACAAATAACAATGAAAGCATTGCTATAGTACAGAATTTCAAGCCATCTTCAGACATGGTGTACCAAGCACACTCCAGTCAGCCAGTGTTGTGACAGTCTCTCCCATCCAGCTCTTATGTATGAGATGCATGCACATCTGGAATATATACCCCCACTGCTGATCAGATCCGGCAATTTCCCTGCCATTGTTGATTTGGCATAATCAGCACTGAGGATGTGGTAGCAGCTGTAATGTGAAAATCTGGAGGACAGCTTGGTCCCTTTCCTAAAGAGACTGCAATCACAGATCTCTTGCTTGAAGTATGAGCCAGGATAGGAATTAAAAGCCACCAAGGTCCCTTCAGGAATGAACACATTGGCACCAGTGTTTCTTTTAAACTGTGCAGCATGCATGGCCACGCAAGTGCGCCTGGCAGCACGGCATGCACAGCCACACACACCACACAGCTTAGAGGAAATGCTGATTGGCACTTCCCCCACAGCCTTAAAAACTGACCTGCTCACTCTGTAGGTTCTAGAAACACCCACTCCCACTTCAATAATCCATTCCTTCTAGTATCAGAAAATATCTTGGCATGAATTCCAGCTCCCTCCCCTGACTCCTGTCTTTTACAGGCTCATCGGCATTAAGTTTGAATCATTTGGGGAAAGCAGCAGTGAAGATTTGTCTGTTTAGGCTCCCATGTTTACCTGGACTTGTTCTTTGGATTAGTCCCACCTAGTCAACACTCCAGGCCTTCAGAGCTCAAGAATATGACTCCAGTATCCCCATAGCTCCTGGTTCCCATCTGGTTATTACCTATGCAGGCATTTTGTTCAGTCCCAAACTAGCACATATTTCATTCAAAAGGAAAAAAGTCCTAGAATTTACTTAGCAAGAAATTAGGCCAAGGACCATAGAGAGCAGCCAAGAGTGTGGGAAGCTTCCATGCAAAAAATTCAATGGGTAGTATCCTGAGTAGTTCCTATTTGATGTGTCATAGAGTCACATCATCTCCATCCTTCCTGCCATCCAGGAACCTCAAGCATGACAAAGAATTCCCTCAAAGTCTTGAGTAATTTTAGTAATGCTGTAACCGTTCCTTTATAACCACTCCCTGTCCACAGGAGATGACTCTTCCACCTGCTCAGCTTCAAGTTCTTCAGCAGCAAATGCTCTACTTCTTACTGTTTATGCCTTGGAATGATGGGAAGGAGAGATCTGTCAGCAAGTGCATCTGCATAAGGAAAAAAAAGAAATGCAAGCTGGGGTCCAGAAGATTTAATTCAATTCTATCTAACCCTGCAATGCAGAGTGGGACAGAAGGTCCTTCATCCTCCAGTAGGTGTGGTCAATTGCCCACTTTTTGGCAGGGGTAGGAGTAACAGAAAAGCAAGAGAAGAGGTGGAGGGGGAATCCAAAAGTCAGTAGGAGTGAAGTCCCCAGTACGGGTCGGGATGGGCTTTGTGGAAAGCAGAAGGGATGTTGAGAGGGGGCCAAGGGGAGCTCAGAGATATGAGCAATATTTGTCATCAGTAGGTCTCAAAGAATTTTACAAAGGAGGTCGGTAGCACTATCCCATCTTGCAGGGAGGGAAATCCAGGAACAGACTGGTGATGTGACCTGCCCCAGGTAATCCAGGAGGCTCGTAGCAAAGCCAGGAATAGATCCCAAGTTCTCCCATTCAGTATTATACCCACCAGACTACACAGTCTCTGAGAGCAGTGAGCTATGAACTACGGACCAGCTGTGCAATCAAGCTGGGTTGTGCATTATGTCATCTGACACTTCAGCCCCTTGTTCACCTTCTGACTAGTCTCTTCAGTGAGGCTACAGTGAGTGTGTTGGCTCCTATGCCAGATCTTGCCCTGTTACCTTTTCTCAAAATGTGTGGCCTAGCTCTCCCTGCAGGCTGGCCAGATCCTCCAGGCTGCCCCAGTGGTTGATGGCATTCTCTATCCGCAGCTTTCTCACACGGCCCTGGAGATGGTGCAGCAACTTCAAGGCTCCAGAGTCATGCTGCCTGGGGAGAGATGCAGTGCTTATGGAGGAGAAAGACGCAGAGCAGAGATGGTGATGTTCACCCAGTTCCTGTGGGTTAGAGCAATGACAAACTTTTAGCCTGGAGTCAGAACATGCTGAGGCAGCATGGCTTCAGGGACAGAGTCTGCTTTTAGTGCAAGCCTGGTTGTGCCACAAATTTGTTAGGTGACCACAGCCAATTCACCTCCCTGTGTCTTAGCTTCTTCGTGGTGCAGGGATGGAACTTGCCAGGACCTGACAACACTAACAAACAAAGCTTTGTACCATTTCCATGGAACAGGCACGGGATTTGGGTACCATTAAAATGCAGCCAACTGAGGCACAGAAAGGGGTTCCTCATTAACAGCTCAGCCATGTTGCCTAACCCATGATGAAGTACATATTCTGCAGACTTTAACAGGAATTTCAGGAGATGAAATGGAATTTTCCACGTTTCAACATGGCCAGGACACTGGAGCTGAACCCTCAAAAACACTTATGGGCTTTTTCCAAATGAGGAGTAGTGTGGCTTTTATACTTTATCTGAAAGATGGTATCTCCAGCTGGAAGTCCTCAGTTTTTCTCCTTACAACCAGGGGCATAGTGGTGAAGCACCTGAAGCACCACCACTGCCTCTTCTCTGGATAGTTGCCACCCAAGTGCTGATCATCAGTGATCTCCAGGATCCCACGATAAGAGGGCATGGCCTCCAAGAGCACTATCTGCTCTAAATCAGTCTGCTGTACTGAACCCAATCCCTTGATCCACAAACCAACTCTGCACAGAAGCTTTTCAGCCCTGAATTGTCATGAAAGAGTCAGAATGGACCCTTACTAAAACCATCAACAAAAATAGGTTCCCTGAACTCACCCAGCCCTCTGTCACCATCCTTGCTTTAGCTGGGGACAAGTGTTTCTCCGTTACTGAGGAAAGGTGTCTGGCTTCTGAGTCCGGCTTCTTCACAGCCCTCTGAAGGCCCACATGTCTGTCCTTGCAGAAGTGCCTGTGGGAAAAGAGCACATGCCCTCAGGCAACATAAGGAAAAGCAGGTCCCTGTGACTTAGACCCTCACCTGCTGGAGCAAGCCAGCCTTGGGGAGTACTGCTTACTCCTTCCACAACTGGATCTGGCAAGGAGCTGCAGTTGATACAGTGTGGAGTAAATTGTAATCTGAGAGGAGCGTGTTGCCCACAGACTTAGAAAGGGCAGTATAGAGCAGCAGGCACCTACTCCATATGCTCCATACTCACACCAAGAATACATTAGGGCTGAGAACAGGCCCAAGACAGACACATGTAAATGGAAAAACTCATGCTGGGTTCTGGATTGGGCCCCAAATGGCACAGACAAGTCACTGCCCATCCCCAGGGGCTTCTTGCCAAGCAACAATCATTATATTTCAAACTCCATAATGAATAAAGACAAGTAGTATTGAATGAAATCCTAAGGCCACAAAATCCAGTTCTACCTGTCAGCTACTGGTTCTCAACTGGCAAGAGGAAAGCAGATCAGCAGGAAACACATGAGCAAGGCCATCCAGTTCTGGATAGCATGGAGGCTAAGTGGGTGGAATTTCACCCTGCCTCACCACAGCTCCCAGCTGCTACACGGGCTTCTTAGCCATTTCTTCATCCTAAGCATTCAGGGCCTGACTCTCTTCTGAATGTAACTGTGTAACCCAAACATAAATTTGGCCTAAGGGAGTGAGCTCTAAACTCAGTCAATGTACCAAAAATCCATCCATCGGTGTTAATGCCTTAATGGATGACAAGTTATAAACACAGGGTTCTTGTCATGGAGCCAATGGGCAGCAGAGATCTGATTTTCCAGCCAGGCTAATGGATAGTTTAGTCACATTAGTCACTTCTACAGGAACTGGCTCCAGGGGTTTCTTGCAGGGTGCTCTGGGTACACATTGCAGCTCTGGGCTCTCTGCATTCTAATGTCAATGGTTATGCTTCCTCTATGAACTTCATTTTTCATCTTTAGAGAAACAAGCAGTTGTTTCACTGACTCAGCTAGTACAGGAAAAAACCATCAGCAAAGGGGACTGCAGGAGCAGGACTTGTAATTTGTGATCTTGTAATTATACCACTGTGGCAATGAGAGAGGCCAATTGGCTCAGGTCAACGAGTGTGGGATTACCAAAAGTAGTATACTGAGACACCTTATCAAGTGCCCCACCCTTTCCCCTTTTTATGGTGTGTGATATCACAAGCCCTGCCCCTTGGTCACATGATACAGGACTTCACAAACCCTGCCCTGCCCCCAGTCACATGACATGTGACACCGCAAACCCCACCCCTGCCTCCCAGTCACATACTGTGTGACATCAGAAACTCTGCCCCAGTCCTCAGTCACATGTGTGACATCAGAAGGGGTGCCCATTTGGGCCCCAAAGCCTGCCCCTCATGCTTCAAAACCTGCCCTAACCCACATAGTACAGTCTCGACCTTTCAGGCCCCAGACTGCTATGTTGTCTCCAGAATTCCTTGCCCCATCACATAATGTGTGACATCAAAAGGGATGCCCAACTGGAGACCCATGCAAGCATACAGAGACCCAGGCCCCCGAAACGGTTGTTGATTATTTGGAAGAAGACAGTGGCCTTGTGCCAGAGCCTGTGTGGAGAGAAAAGGTTGGTGGGGGAGCAGAGATGCTAGTAAGAGACTTGAAGCATGGTTGTGGGGGGTACTTAGTTTTTGATGGTGGTGGGGGAGGGGGTTCATCCCATAAGGGAGGGGGGAAGTAGGAATAACCTAAGAATTTATTAAACAGCAGCTAACTAAGGTTTTTATTTGAATCCCTTTGTAGTTAGATGAAGCCTTTTTAAGGACTCAAGAAAACCTGCCTGCCAGCACACCTGTAAACCTGACACCAGAAAAAAACCCAGCTGTTTTGCAGAGAACAGAGACGAGGCATTTCAGATGAAGATGAAAGTTTTAGAAAACAATTAAGCATTGAATCAACAGGTGCTGTTTCATGTCAAGAACATAAATTCTTAAAGTCTCTTACGTGCATTTCTTTTTATGGCATAATGAAATACTGTCTGAGAATGAGGCTTTTTGAAAAGTTCCCGGGTTGTGTTTTTGATGAGTGTGGTCAAGGTTGTCATGGCTGTGTTACCTGGTTAGATGAAGATAGAAATCAAACATTTCAGGAACTTTGCAATGAGCTGGGTATGGAAAGTGTTCTACTTGCCATTATTGCTATTGGATATGCCAAGAAAATTCTAAGAATCATTGAGAAACATTTCACTCAGGGAACAGAGCTTCTAAATGCATTCTGCAGAAAATCCTAACACTGCTCTTTATGGCTTGATCACTGAGGAAAATAAACCTCTGGTACCCTATATTGATTGTTTAATTGGCACTATAAATTATAAAACCCTGCTCAAGAGAAGGGTTTAGCAAAAACAGTTTAACATTTTTTTACTGGTGTAACTTTTGCATTTGGTGGGGGGGAAGGGGAGAGTGGGAGAGGTTAAAGATAAAATCACTGAAGCACAACAGCTGTTTTCAGATGGACATATTACCATTTGCTTTAGTGCCTTGGATCCTTGGATCTCTAAGCACATTCATATGAGGGGCATATTGTAAAGATAAAGCCAATGAGACTTACTTGTCACTAGAAATTATAAAACCCCTTCTTAGGAGGAGGAGGTTTAGCAAAATAAACCCAGTAAATATTATAAATGTTTTTGATGTAAATAAACACTGATTTAAAAATATATCTCACAGCATTTGTGTGCTATTCTGTGGGGTTGAACTGTCATTTTTGGGTGGCACAGAGCATGTGGTTAATTTCCCAGGACCAGGGAATGTGTTGTAAAGATAAGCCAACCAGCAAAAAAATGTAGCTTATGTGATGAGAAGCTGCTTGCAGAAGTAGTCAGAGCTTCTAACAGCATTGTTTATATATTTTAAGATTAAAAGATTATATTTGCCAGAAGTCTTTTTTAGTGGTGACTCTGTTTTAAAACAGTTTGGTATATACTTTTATTTTATATACATTATACACATTGTTTTACTTGCTGTACTATTTAATTTTTAATACAGAGGGCTTATCTAGTGGGAAAGCCATGACCACATGCTGCTTGCAGAAGTAGTCAGAGCTTCTAACAGCAGGGTTGTTTGCATAATTGAAGATTAAAGGATTATCTTTACCAAAAGTCTTTTTTAGTGGTGACTCTGTTTCTTTATGCCTTCATAAACAAAACAAAGGAGTACCCTACTGGATACCCTGAAATCATTCATGACAACTTCAGACCCCTGTCAAGCTATTTTGGAATGGCCTAGGTAAAATTGCACCTGCCATGAAACCTTTTTCCCCTCTTTTCTCCCATCAGAGTGAATGGGAAACTTATGTTCCCACTGCACTACCTCTGTGCAGGACCAAAACAGCAAAAGTGCAACCATGCTGATGAGGAGAGGGCCCTATGAGACACATGGTGCACACCAGAATTTAACAAAGCCCAATGGGGTGCAAAGTAGCTAAAATCTATGAAGTGTGGCATTTTGCCGAGTGGCCTAACACACTTTTTTTCATGGTACAAAAAACTGCACCTCTGAGAGAAGCAGGAAATCTCAGTGTACCAACCAACAAAATCAAGACAGATACATGGACAATTTCTTCCAAAAAGAAGGCGTGCTTTTATGCCCAGAGCATATTAAACCAACCCCCAAAGCGCCAAATTGCAAAGTTGTTTTTAAATTCTTTGTAGGGTATATTCGGTCAGAGAACCAAACTACCCACCACCACCATCGTCAGAGACCCCAAAGAACTCTTTGGCTATCTCTTTTCTCCAGCCTATGAAATTTCATCTTGTGACTTTATTGATAATGAGACAGCCTGCATCCCTTGGAAGCACGCCAAAGAGCGTTACATGCTCTCGGGTAACACAAACACCTTTGTAGCCTGTTTCACCACCGCTTATGCACACTTAGAGTTGTCTGCTAGACAAATTGCAGGACACCAGTCTGTACCACAGCACAGCTTCCGTGATATTTGTGAGCAGTGTGGGAGAGTGGAAGCCCCTGCTAGGCAATTATTTAGGCAAGCTCACCAGCGAAATTCCACCAGATGAACACATCACGGAGTTTGTGTCGGCTGGTCTGAAAAGCTGCTGTTACAAATGGTCCAGGGGAAAGGTTTGCTTGAAAATCAAAGAGATTACCCTGAATGTGGCCAACTGTGAAAAAAATCAACTTTGAAACCTTGAAAAATCCGGATGGAGACACCCCTAAAACAATAGTGATACAACATCACTCTATCATCAGGAACAAAAACAGGTGGACGATAGAAACCAAAGCCTTGAAAAAAACCCACAGAAAGTTGTTTATGACAAAAGGGTCCTCACAGAAGACTTTAAGTCGGCCTCATGGTTTTTGAACAGGGATATGCATTAGAAGCACCCCTTTTCTGTGATTTTGGTAGGACCTAGCAACTATGGTAAAAGTTACTTTATAAAAAATCTCTTGGATCACACTGATAGACTGTTGTCTGTTATGCCCGAGAATATTATGTGGTGCTATAGCTGTTGGCAAACGTTACATAAGGAGCTACTTTGTAAATATCCTTTTATCAGATTTGTGGAGGGTCTGCTGGACAGTCTCAACAATGACCATTTGTTTCCCCCTAATAAAATATGGTTATAGTAGATGATTTGATGGACTGCTTGCAAGAGAGGCAAAATCGAGAAAGCCTTTACCCAGTACATACGTCACCGGAATCTAAGCATTATGTATATAGTCCAAAATGTTTTCTGTCAAGGGAAAAGGAGCTGCACCATTACGCTTAACGCAAAATACATGGTTTTGTTTAAAAATCCCAGGAATAAGCTACAGGTAGTGTCCTTGGCAAGGCAGATGTACTCAGGTGAGGCCAAATTCTTTCTAAAAGCTTTCGTGGATGCCACTAAAATACTCAGAGCTGACCTGAGCAGGGTGAGGGGCCCGGGGCAAATCAGCCCATGCAGGGCCCCACCTCTGCTCTGATTCCATGGGTCCCAGACCCAAAGAAGCTGCCACCATCATTGGTGGCGGTGGCATCGGCAGCGGGCGGCCAGGGAGGTAGCAAGTGGCTGGACGCGGAGCCACTGCTCCGCCCAGCTCTGCACCGCCGCTGCTCTGCCCTACTCTGCGAGGCCCCCCAAAGCACAAAGCCAAGGGCAGTTTCCCCGATTCACCCCTCCCACAAGGAACGGTCCTGAAAACACCTTACAGGCATCTGAAGGTGGATTTAAATGCTTCTGCCCCAAACACTTTTAGCTTAAAAAACTGGCTTTTTCTTCCCAACCAGCCAGCTGTTTACGCTTAACGAAAAAATTAAAAAACAGTAAGCAGGAATAAAATAAGATGATATAGCGGCAGACTCTTTTTAGCTCCCAAGATGGTGGGACAGAAACATGTATAAGCACATAAAAAGATTAAAGGAAATGAAGTGGGGTAAAAGGAAAATACACACACACACAATTTTTTAAACAGTAACAGCTTTATTTACACAGCAACAGCTGGCTGCTTTATTTAAACAAAGCCTCATGAAAGTCATAGCAAGAAATGCATGTCTGGGCATGTTGAAACATATTTTAAGCAAGCCCAGCCACGTGGAAAGTTTTATATTTACTTTTTACAAACTGTATCACCATCCTATCATTTTGTACTAAATTGTCAGAATAATATGATTTAAAAATGTGTTCAAATGATAGCCCCTTGCTACAGTAGCATAGGAAAAACACACAGTGGTATCTGCAGGCGACAGATATGGGGGTCTTGTAACTGTTTTGTCTGAAAAGCAGTGTCAGTAGCAGTCTTGTTTAAGAAGAACGTAATATTTTGAGGAAAGAGAGTGCTGTTTGGGGGGTAGCCATACGAGCTGAAAAAACTCCCCACAGTTCCAATCTTTCAAGTAAACCACCTCCCAGTGTCCTCTGGATTGATTATGTGGACACATGTTGACCACCAAGCTCAGACGTCTTTGAGACAGCCAAGTCTTAGGGAGCCACTCACAGGGCAACACATCTAAGAAAGCCTCTTTGGCATAAGGGTCTGAGGATAAAATCCTGGAGAGCTGTTTGGTGTCCCTCTTCACATGTAGTCAAACAGGATGTTTCTCCTCTGATTTATTGCTACGATGTTGTCAAAGACCCTGTACACAATCATGTTAACTGTGGTGGGTAAAGCCCCAGCAAAGCATATTTCTGATCTTAGGTTCCTGGTTTTAATCAATGAATAATGATCAATACATTCCTGGTCAGGAGACAGGTCAAAGGCAAACAAGGTGTATCCCTGGGCAAACTCCTCATAGTTGATTAGCAGGGAGTGGTCTTTCATATGTTTACTGGCCATCTGCACCAGGTGCATGTATTCTCTCATGCAATTACCTTTCTCAAAATCCAGTTGTAGTCATTTTTTCAGGGTTTGTTCTCCATTGTGGTAGAGGGCCACAAAATTAGTACTGTAATGCTTAAAGTTAAAGGGACTCTTAGCATAGTTCCTGCTAAAGGTGTCGTTATCCATGAACCCAATGACGATGAGTTTGGGCAGCTGTCCCAAAAAATAGATTTTCCTGGTTACTGACCTGGCTGCCGGTGAGGATGCTAAACACTTTCATGCCCATGCGGTCTATGGAGTAGTTAGTGTTGGCTGTATGCAAGGCCTCCACATGGCTCAGCTGGATGCCCGGGGCTATCCTCACTTTTTTCACAAAAAGTGAAGCAGTTGTCATTTGTAGTTTACACTGGCTAGCCACCGGGGCATTCATCAAGCAGAGAGTGTCTTTACTGCATGTCAGTTAAACTTTCACCTCCATGCCATTCAGCAAGTTTTTCTTGGAAAAACAAAACACTGTGGAGATAAATGAACAGCTGTCTTTTTCCTCCAGTCTGTGATTACCACCGTCCTGCATGACGGCTTCGTGATGTCTAGGGGTACCTTTGTAAAACACGCCAGCAGAAAATTGGGTGGCGAGGGTGTAATTGCTGTAGTTGATTCAGTGAAGGCTCAGTAAGGATAACAGTTGTTGCTCTGGTTTATGAGATGATCACCCAGAGTGACATCCAGCTGGCTGAAGACGGGCCAGCAGGTAATTCAACAGACCCATGGTGGCCCCAGCATCAAGGTCAATTCCATTAGCTTTTACAATCTTGCAGCAAAGGTACAGCAGTGTGTTGTTCAAATCCATATAATCTTTGCCATTTCCAGTGATGAAAGGTCAAGAGGGGTGGACTCAGTAATAGCTGATAGTGGCGGGACCTCAACATACAGGCTTTACTCAATGCTGGTCTGCGTAGGGGCTATTTGAAACAAATCCAGTTTGGATTTGGTGCACTCTTCAGACCTGCAGTGAACAAAGGCCATGGCGATTATAATATATTTCTTTTTCCTCCAAGAGAGTGCCCCTTCTTTCTCCCAGGCTGCTTCTCGGTCTTTCATGTATGACTGCCTCATTGACTTACCCTCTTCTTTTTAAGGGGTTGGGGAGGTCCTTTACATTGGGAGCATAGTGTGTCTCTCTTTTAAGGCTCTGTCTTTGAATCCACATGAATGCAGACCCCTCCTGCTTCGCCAGCTTGCCCGCCTTATCCAGAACAGCTTGGGAGATGTGACCAATCGCATCTTTGGCTATGCTTTGAGCCATGTTTTTAGCATGCGGCTTAATAATCTCAAGACCCCTTCTCAAAAGTGGAACGACTTTTCTAAACAGACTGCAAAATATGTCTCCCTTGCCAGCCCCATACATCATGAGCACCCCCTGATATGCGTTAAGAACATACCCAGCTTGGGCTTTATAATAATTTCTGTACAAGTTAGGGTCCCCATCGTTTTTGACCATCACCATTGTGGTTTTACTTATTGTAAAATCCCAAGGTCTTCTGGGGTCATAGGTGAAATTTAACAATCACCTTACCAAAGTGAAATAAGACTTGGGGCCTGTTGGGCAACCATGGGCGACTGGTGCCTCCTGAGTCTGGGGGGCAGCTGCAGAAGGTGGCAGCAGGGCTGGCCAGCACCCACAGAAGCCGCTAGTAGTGTTGGCAGTGGGGACGGCCCTGGTCATCAACCCTTCTGAAGTCATGCAGCATGTGATAGAGTGAGGAATTCTGGAGCCAATATAGCAGTCCAGGGGCCGATAGGTCGAGACTGTACCATGTGGTCTAAGGTGGGTCTTTGGCATGAGGGACAGGCTTTGGGGTCTGAACAGGTGGCTCTTCTGATGTCACGGACCATGTGATGGTGGTGTTGTGCACCATATGATGGGGCCAGCATGAGGTTTTAGATGTCATGCATCATGTGACTGTGGACAGATGGTGGGTTTCTGATATCACGCATCATATGACCAGGGGCTGAGGCAGGGTTTCTGATGTCACACACCATATAAGGGGAAAGGGAGGCAGGGTTTGTGACATCACATACCATATAAGTGGGAAAGGGGTGGGGCACCTGCCAAGTTAACAAACTGGTGTTCCTATATACTATTGCCAAGCTTTTTACCATGGGGTTATTCAGGATGATAGCAATGAAAAATTGTTTCCACATGGTGATAGTTCACAGAGACTCAAGAGTTTTAGTGTCTCAGTCCCACTCCCACTAAGCATCCTCAGTGTTTTGTGCTGCTCCAACTGTAAACCACCCAGACAGGCTTCAGAAGGGAGGCCAGTGGTGTCTGTGGCTGATTCTTTTACATCTAGGATGATGTCCAGCTCTCAGAGTTCCCCTCAGTCTCTATTCAGAGATGCAGCAGCAACACTACTCCAATTGCTGGGGTGCTCTTTCCTCATCACTGACCTATCTGATCAAGGGTGGGTTTTCAAAACCATGCGGTACAGTCCAAATGCAGCTACTGACAGAATTAACCAAATAATCCACATCAGGTCCAAAGAGGGCAGTTGGGGCACTGTGGAAAATCCCACACCTCTCCCAAAGCCACAGAGTGAAACTCTTGAGCCCTCTACAGCCTGGCACTACCCTTCAGTGACTGCCCAACCAAGCAGAGTGGAAGCTGCATAGTACTGATTAGGATCACTTATTTGTTAACTATTCATGCAAGAACCACAAAGCACTTTGCCAAGGTGGGTATTTATTATCCCCATTTTATAGCAAGAAGAGACAATAGAAGCAGAGAGTCAGTCACACTGGAGGTACCAAACATCAGGCATCTCCACAGAAGCAGCACTTCTGTCAAGAACACAGGCCCTTCCCCCCTTCCCTCCTCAGCTATTCCAAGTTGCTGGAATATTGGAAGCTTTGGGAGTCCCTGGCCTTTCTCATCACTCACGTCTCCACCTCCACATCCAGCTCCTTCTCCAACCTCTGGGTCAGCTTGCAGGCCATCTGGTCCTTCCAGCTTCCCTGGATAGCCCACAGCTCACTGTCCTTGCACAACTGCTTTTCACCCATAGCCTCCTTTAGCTGACTGTGCTGCAGGGTGGCAATTTCCTGGATATGCTCCTGCAGGATAAGATGAGCAAAGCAAACTGCTCAGCTCAGCCAACCACAGGATTTACATACCACACATATACCCCCTGCAGACCGTGGAAGCCAGGCTCTGTGGGGTTTATCACATCTTGGCTCTTAGACATAGATAGCCTTGGCCAGCAGTGTATGGACCCAAATCAAAAGTTTCTCAAAACCTGGGGAGGGCAGGTCAGATTCAGGGTCATCTCTTGGATTCAGGAGAGGGAGGCATGGAACATGGGCTGGAAGATGGGATCCTTGACAACTCCGGGAAGTATAAGATACCTCTTCCCTCTGCCCCTGAATGGGAACCTAAATAGCTCTTCCCTGGGTGAATACATCCCAGGCCTTCTGCAGAGACCTTCTTGGCCATACAGAGCCCCAGAACATGTGATTTTAAGGGTGGGGAAATGCAGCCTGCTAGACATCTAGATACATTGCTACAGAGGTCCTGTAGAGGGGCAGAAGGGGGATGGCTCACCTCAGTGTTAGCATCTCTTGGCAGACAGTAGCGCCAAGAACAGTTCCTGCTCAGCTCTAGAGAGAACCCTGACTGAAGAGTAATGGATAGGACTCAGATGCATGGGACAGGGTCAAAGAGCAGAAAAGCCCCACCTATGCAGGACCACTCCATGGTCATGAAGAGACTTACCTGGATCAGCTGCTCCTTCAGGGCCTCCAGAGCTTCCTCCTTTTCTAAATGAAGCTGCTCCTGCTGCTGCCTCAGCTCCCATTTCTGCAGATACAGAGAGCTCTCACTGCCATCAGGGCAAGTTAAACAGCATCCCTGGTGTTTGTCTGCTCTGATGTAGCACTGGTAGGCAGTGTCTTGGCAACAAGGGCAGCCACTGATGGCTTTTCCCTTTCCTCTCCCTTCCCAGTGGACATCTATCTGGCTGGCACTAGAAAACCCCAGGAAGCATATTTATTTTCTCTTTGCTTGTCATTCTATATGTTGATCCTTGAAAGACACTGGAGGCTAGTGACCTGATTTGGTCCATTTTGTATTGGGCATTTCAGGAGGGGGCAGTAGAATCAAGATGAATCAGTGTGATCAACACAGAAGGGAAACATAGCACTGAAGGCATTGTCCAGTGGCCCATTCAATTCCATAGAGAAATTTGTGCCTAGATTTAAGTGATATCACAGTCATGTTCCCAGGTTACTCTCACCATGATGCTATACCAAGGAGCACAACCTTATGACAGTTTGTCAGAGATGCCAAGCTTGCAGAAAAGCCCAAGACTTGCTCTTGGTCCTACAGGAATTGTTAGATTTCCCTGAATGATTGTTTTTCCAGCAATGCCTTAATGCCCCAACCAAGATGGTGGCCATGTTGTGCTCTGTGCTGTATGCAGGAATGAGAAAGAGTCTGTTCTTTGAAGACCAGGCAGTCTAAACAAACAGGGCAGTCAAAGGATTTGTTACCCATGGGTCAGGTGTAGGGTGCACACAGACCCATATCTCAGGCAGTGACCAATCCCCAATGCTGCAGAAAAAGGAAAAGGAAAAGGCCACAGTGCTTTTGGCCAATTGTGCTGCAAAGAGAGGATGATTCCCCACTACCTCCTGTAATTCATAGTATCTGCCTTAAGGCAAAGAAAGTTAGGACCCTGTCCTGGCCAGAAAAACAGCAAAGTTAATACTGGACAGAAAACCACATAACTCATTTTAAGGGTAAGGCTGTGCAGTGAATGAGCTCTTCAAGTAACAGTAATTTCCTCTGTAAGCCTATTAACTTTCATTACCTTTTCCATCTGGAACTGAAGGATGGTGTGTTTCTGAGCCTCTATCTCTTGCTGCAAGTCCCTGAGGTAGTGCTGAATTTCTTCCCTCAGTCCACGGAGGATCTGGAGGGCATGGCCGGGAGAGAGGTAAGATGGGCTCCTGTGTAAAATAAACAGAAGTTTGGGAAGAGAACCAGGAATGAGGGTGTACCCTGCATGGGTCACTCCTTGTAACAGTAGGTCTGCTAGGTCTGTGCTTGGGTTGCCTGGACTAGAAAGAAAGAGCTACTACTGTTCTGAACTAAGGGGCTCAAAGCAGACAATAGAGGATGACTGAGCACCACATTGTTAGCAGGGTCTATACTTGAAGCACTCATCCTCTATTCTTTCCAGGGATCTTTCTCTTGGGGACAACACTGCTGGAGATCTATGAGATCTGATCCATGTTTTATAATGAACTTCCTACATAACTAAAAGCTGCTTCCCCAAGTAGTAACACTAAAGCATGGACTGAAGGACCTGGCAATGTTGTTTCTGTCCCAGTTGTGGCAGCATTACTCTCAACCTATCATTCCTGTGACCCTTCTCCTAGGGTTCCAGCCACAAAAGTAAAGAGCCCTTTAGCAACCTCTTGCTCCCCCAATCATGGGAAATGCCACCAGTTCTCACCCTGCAGCA